AGATAATGAATAGATAATCGCGCCTTTGTAGGCACCAACAACAACAACGGCATAGAAAAAAAACTGCTCATCTTTGCAACTCTCCGCTCATTATCCCGGCAATCTGAGAAAATAAGGGCCATTTGTGAAAACATCTCACGATGAGGGAAGCGTGCAAAGCATCCGTTTTGTTCGGCAGACGGCGGATAGGAGGACACGGTGTTGAAATGCAGGGAGCACATCTACGGACGAGATCAGCGTGCACTAAACGACGGAGGCCTTTTGGTACCTCCCGTAAGAGCAGAGCAACCAGCAGATTCTACTCCTCGGAGACAGGTCAACAGAAAGTGGCCGCAACGGTCCGTCCTCACTTTCCCATCATGCAACAGTGTGCGTATTACCCCACACCCGTGTCGAACCCCACGCCTCGTTTTGTCACAATGCTGCTTTAATTACTTTGGCTTTACTGCAAGCCGCCAGCTGGAGCCGCCGCCGTGACGAGTATCCGCTCAAAGCGTTTTTCCGGTGCGCTGAGCGGATGCTGTTTGCACTCCGACTTGTGACCGTGGACGGCAGATGGAAGCTAGCCTTCTCGCCTGACTATTGTTTTTTTCGGTTCCCTGCAGTTTATCAATGGGCATTGTCTGTGCAAAAACATCTGGCGTTCTCACCGAACTTCCTGCACACACAAAAACATACAAATAGCTTGTACTCGTCCTCTTGTTGGGAAGAGGAACCTGCCGTAACGGTGGCAATTAAAACTCCATTTGGAGCAATTACAATATTATTTATAGCTCTCATTTTTGGAAGCGGCATATAGGCGAATCGGCAGCTCCTGCCAGCCGCGGGGCGGCTCCGGCCCGGAGAGAAAACGGCTCTGCGGTCTGCTAAATGACGCCTCCGACACCTGCCAGGCAGCAGGTGAGGGGACGCTGATACCCGTTATCGGGCTTCCTGGAGGCGCGTTGGCCCTAATTCGATGCCACGCGTGTTTTGGGTGTGACCATCTGTGACGGTTTTCAAAACAAGTTCCAAAGTCACGGTGAAGAGCACAGGTACCCCCGGAAAAAAAACAAAACGCTGCTGTGGTCGCAGTGAGATTTGGATCCAACAAGTCGAGGTCAACCCGGCGCTTCCCTTTGCGTCGCCTCCGACCCCGTCGCCGAGTCGCGATCAGACCCCGGTTTAGTAGCTGTCACGTTGTTTACAGCCGAGGCTTTCGCCTCACTCGTTTCTTAATCCTTTCTCCTCCACCCGCTCTCTGATAGGAACGCACGCACAGCATTATCAGTCTCTCTCAATAAAAGTGCCCTCACTTTTCACTTTGATGTTCAGAGGGCAGGATGGCCGCTCTCTCTCTCTCTCCCTTCTTTTTGTCTGTGCTATAAAATGACATCAGTGGTGTTTATGACTTGTGGAAAGCTCTCTGGGATAAACCGTGAGGGGGAAAAAACAGCCTGTGTGTAAACCGTGTTATGGAGCCATTTGGCGTGAACGGAGAAGGTGGCTTTTTGACGCTGGCTGGTTAACAACAGAGAAACCGTTGAAAGACATCCACATGTGTTGGACAAGCGTGTTTGTTTCACCAGATGCCTTAAAGTTTGCTGAAGACGTCGTGTAATGCGCCTTTCCTCGCTGCCATGCTGACCCGAACTAGCTAACTCAAGCTAACGAGGTGGCTACTGGTCATATCAGACGGAGAAAGGTTGTATCGGCGAAAAGCGTATTTAGCTGAAAAATTTGTTAGATAGAAACTTAAATTAAATAATTAAACGTAAATTTGGGAACGTGATCTGAGACAAAGTAATACCTTTCTTTTACCTCGGCTACAAGCCACATACCCACTAAAACATATGATACAATATATATATAAAAAGTGTACACGGTGACATAAGCGCAACAAATGTATGTATTTTACAGTTAAGGAAAGTTATCATTTGTAAAAAGCCTAAATATCACAAGTGACAGATTTCCTGCTTCTCCTTTCTTTCCGTCCCACCATTAGCTGAGCTGTGGACCGACAGCATGTGCACCATTCGCAGAAATAGGATAAAACTCTTCCTCCATCTTGTGGCTCCTCTGCCTCATTACGGTCCGCGTCGAAAGAAAAAAAGTGTTCAGCTATTTCATGCATGGTTAGCATCAACCGCTGACAAATAATGGGGGTAATTGGATTTTAAATGGCACAGTTCATAATTTTTCCCGGAGATTGATGGGGATTGTTGATGTGTGCACACTCCCACCCGCCCAGCAATCATTGGCACACACGTCTCCCGTTCTCTGTCCTCGAAGCAACCTTGCACCTGTGTATTCAAAGACAAGCTCTCTTTTTCTGTTCACTTTGCAAGGATAGCATTTGAGTACAAATAAAGCAGGCTTGTATCCTCACATGTGCACAATCTAAACGGCATGTGTGTGCTTTATGTAGCAACTTGTGGGCCACTTTGATGCAGGTAGTTCTACATTCTTCATCTGATGCAGTGCTTATGAATATATTTTGGAAGTATACGCAGGTTTCAGCAAATCTCAACGACTAAATCTCTCCCTTTCAGCTTGTATAATTCCCCAAAAAAATTTCCGTTTAAGCATGAACTGTTTTTGAAGATAGGATGTTGCTTAATCACAAGCAGAGGCAGACAGAGGTCCCATATCTCCCATAAACGTGTCACCTTATGTGTCCCTTCTACATTCTTCCTCTTTTCCAAATGTATATATTATTTGGAACCGTATTTATGGAACTTTTTGTTGGAAGTACATACAGGTATCAGCAAATATTTGATATTTAGAATGGTTCCTTTGATTTTTCTAAACATGTTGCAATTGCACTTAATTGCCAGCAGAGGGAGACAGAGACCATGTTTCTCTGAAAGATTTTTAATCTAACATGTGCCCTTTATATTCTTCTTTTAACTGTCATGTAAATAATGATGCCATTTTATGTCATTTTTCCTCCTCATATATGCCAAAATTGTATTATAGTGTTCGTACCGATATTTATTGGAAGAATTCCCGAAATCAGTGTATATTAAATAAATGTCTCCTGCTCATATTATTCCAAACAATCTGTGTCTTATATATTCAACATAATGCGTAATTTAATTTCAAAGAATTGTAATGTTGCTTAATAACAAGGGGAGGGAGACAACACTCTAAGACTTTTAATCTCAGAAGTGTTTAATTCTTTCTTTCTCTTCTTGGTGTATTCATTATTTGGATTACAGTGTTGATAAAAATATTAGTTGGGAGTATACACAGGACTCGGCAACCATTAATGTCTCCTATCGTCATCATCATCATCATCAGACCTGTAGTGTGTAATGTTGTTTCATCACCAGCGGAGGGAGACAAATACATCATATCTCCAAGACTTTTCATCAACTATCTTTCTCTTTCTTGTGCAAACATTAGTTTCATATAAGTATGTACACCTATTACCTAATGAGTAAATATTAATAAATACATGTCACCAATCCTGCATGTATTATTCAAAACTGTTTCTCTTTTCTTTTCTTTTCTTTTAAACCTATACCATTTATTTTGAAGACCTGTAATGTCGCTGTTTCACCAGCAGAGGGACACAACGGTCCTACATCTCTGAAAGACGTTTGATCTCACAAGTGCTTTTTTTATATTTCCTCGTTCTTTGGTAGAAATGATTTGGATTACAGTGCTTGTAGAAATATGCAAACAGCAAATATTTATGTATCTAATACTAAATACACTTCTACAAACCGCTACTTTCTTTTTCTATTTTTAAACAAATGCTGTTCATTGAAGACATGTAATGCTGTTTAATCACCAGCAGAGGGAAACCTAGTTCAAATATATCTGAAATACCTTTGAAATCAAATGTGCCTGCTCTAAAGAATTTATCCACATTGTGTGAGAGCCTTTATACAAAAATATATATTTTTAGTTTGTGTATTCTCTTTTAATTAATTATTTGAAAGTTAAATTGTTTAACGCTTCAGTCGGACCACTTTGTTCACTTTAGGACACTCGTCTGCTTTCTTCAACGTTTTCCTGTAATGACTCTTGCAGACATCAGACATTTAAATGCACCAATCTGAAGGAAAAAAATGACAAACCTGAAGTTGTTTTTGCTTCTCTACCCCTGTTGTTTTTTTCCAAGTTGACAAGGAGTGCATTTGATTTTGACCTTGAATATTAATACCAGGTGCCAACTTAAATCTTCTATTCACATGTCCTGCTTGGTGCACTCCGGTTCAAGCCCACACAGTTGCCTGAGAGGAATGGAGAATTATTTAGGCTTTATTGTGTTTTTAGACAAATCTTTTTCCTCTCCAATGGGATCAAGTGGCGATGCATCGCGCCCACACACCATTTTATCAGTTGAAGAATAATAGCAAGAAGTGCTCTCTTTTAGTGTTGACTCGTTTCATATTTATTTTTGATAAGAGCTCAGCACCCAGGCCTCTGCTAACGTACGTTTCTACAGATAATAGATAAGGAGTCTGCCTAATGATGTTTGATACTGTTGGTTTAGCCGCACGATGGAGAAAAACTCTCCAACAATATTTTAATTGGTCCTTGGTAAAAGATGAATAGAAACGATTTATAGAAAAGAAATGGGTTGATTTTGTTTCCAATTCTCAGACGAACATGAACCAATAGCAGGTAAGAAAGGGACTAAAGAAATACTTCATATTTCTCAATATAATAAAGTTTATTCAAGATTTTATTGACATGATTCCCAGTAGATAAAGAAAAATGAAAACTCGATCCTCTGGATTAAATGAACCGTTCAGCAAATTAAGCCCTACCAGGTAGAATGTGACTATTTACTCATTGGTGTTTTATTGAGAAACGGTTTATCACTACTGAGATATTTTAAGAACAATAAAAAGTAAAAAATAACTTTGAAAAATTAAAGTAATGAGATAAATGGGCCGATACTAAGTTAGTAGATTGTTTTTAAGTGAAGAAGCCATGGCTGTTTTTAACAAACAAGCTGACGTGTGAGGAGGGCGATCCCGTCGTTATAGGTCAAAGGTCAGAGGGCGAGCACGAGCATTTCATAGTAACAACTATGTTTTCAGTACGAAGAAGAACGTGGAGCCGTGACGTGTTCCCCGATGTTCCTTCATTCTTAAGTTTGATGCAGAACGTCTTCTTCGTTCTTTTTATAAAAATATAACGTTATAACGGCTTTTTGAAGCTACTGGAGACCGTTACCTCAACACAAGAAGACACTCTGAAGTCCACATGCCTCCAACGACCGGACGGTATATTTTACATAAAAACAACACCAGGACATTTTAATTAACGTCCATTTACTTAAGTGCGAAAACAATGTGGTTAAAAGCAGCCAACGGGCTCGTTGGAAGACGTAAGACAACGCTAGCTAACGTTAGCTAGCTAGCTAGCTAGCAGTCCCCGAGGAGAGGACGACGACTTATTTCGGTATCAACCAACGGGGGACATTTCAAGTGTTCTTCAACTCAAGGACGTCGAAAACGTGAGTGGCTAGCTGTCTGTCTCTCTTTGGTTGCCTGTCTGTCTCCCTGCGTCTGTCTGCCTCTCTGCGCTGTCTGTGTCTCTCTGGCTAGCTGTCTGTTTCATTGCGGCTGTCCGTCTGTTTGTGGCTATCTGTCTCTGTCTCTGTGGCTGTCTGCCCGTCTCTTTGTTGCTGTAAGTCTCGGCTGGCTGTCTCTTTTTGGCTAGCTGTCTGTCTTCATGCGGCTCCCTGTCTGTCTCTCTGTGGCTGGCTGCCTGTCTCTCTTTGACGCTGTCTTTCTCACTGTGTGCGGCTGTCTGTCTCTCTTCCACTGGTTCTCTGTCTCTCTGCGGCCAGCTGCCTGTCTTTCTTTGGCTAGCTTTCTGTCTCTCTGCAGCCGGCTGCCTGTCTCTCGGTCTCTCTGCAGCCGGCTGCCTGTCTCTCTGTCTCTCGCCGTCTGTCTTTCCGTGACGTCTGTCTGTCTCTCTCTGCAGCTGTCTGCCTGTCTCTCTGTGGCTCAGTGTCTGTCTGTCTATGCGGCTGTTTCTGCGTCATCGGTCTGTCTCTGTTGCTGTCCGTCTCCATGCGTATGTCTCTGTGTCTCTGTTTCTTTACCAGACAAGAAAACTGTTGGTAATCTGACTCTTATTTCTCTCGATGACTTGGTGATTTCTTTAAATTAGCATTTGGGATTACGAGTAAAGGCTCAAAGTGCCCTCAATGTTCTTTGCATCACATCAGCACCTGTCAAACCGATGATGCCATAAGTAGAGACACCGTGCAGTCAAAAGCGTCCCGCAGGACGCCCCGTTGATGTTGTCCATTAATTCATTAAATATATGGAACAATAGTGTTTGTTGCTGCAGGAGTCATTGCTTTGGTAAGACATAAATACTTAAAGTTCTCATCAGGTAACTTTTCCACATCCTCAAAGCTAATATTGTCTCATCGTCTGGAGTCTTCATCGTAACACAGTAATTCATCTCTCGACCCGGCACTCTGAAGTCATTTTCCCCATTATGTCGAGTCCGTTTCTGCCCGACAACATCGTCTCCGCCTTAATTTACCGAGGACGCCTGCAGAACAAGGCAGTAAAGTGGGCTGTAGTAGAGATGGAGACAGACGGGGACAGACGGGGGAGCCTAACCCAAGTAAAAGTTTTCTCAGACCAGAGTTCTTTGTTTTCCCTCTGCTCGAGACGGTGGGACATTTTTTAACAGGGTGAAGGGCATAAAGTGAGAGACTGCTGCGCACACCAGTAAAGGTCCGCAAATAAAAGGGAATTTTCTTGGTTTAAAATCCAACTCTAATTTTAATCATGAATGTGCTGATTACGCTTTTAATTGATCATTGTAAACAAACAGAATTTTGACATATTCCTCCTGCTGAGCCACTGGTTTTCTTAACATAAATAATGCAGCCCTTTAAACGAAACGTTAAACCTCATGCGACTAAATATGATCAAACTATCAGTTTATGCCTTTGCTTTTGCTTTGTATTTACTGTGTCTAAAAAGAAATCATGTGAACACCAATGACTTGTATCACCTCATAACCTCTCAACAAGTAATTAATAATGCTGTTAGTTGAGTGTGCAACTGATTCAAGGCCTCATGTTACGTATAAATATCTGTCTCTTTCCTGCCTGTTTCACAGCAACAGCTCATCGAAATGTTTCGCCTCGTTAAAGTTAAATACGGCCCACTAGTAAAATCGCTGTCAGGGCCATGTGGCCCACACACTTCAGTGGGATGAATTGAAAGGCTCCTGTAGCCTATAACCATAACTAATTGTCTTCTCGTGCAGCTTTCTTTTTAATGTGGAAATGCTGCTTGGTTATGATGTGTTTTGTGAGCCTATCAAAACTAGTTTTTGTTGCTCTGTGTGATCTCCTTTATGTCTGCACTCTAGTTGTTACCAAGATTGGCACTCGCATTTTAGGGAGAGACTGATGCTCCCTCGTTTAAAACTTTGTCCGGTTCCTACTGGCAATCATGATGCTGCGTGCGTACAGTGCACCTACAGATGTGCAGCTGACTTAAAGCTCCCGAAAGCACACTTCAGGATCCCTGGCATTATTTTAAATTCTCAGTTTGTAAATTATTCATATTTCCAAAGGTCAAGCATGAAGAAATAACATGGTTCAGTCTGCATGTTTGCCATCAAACATTCTATGAATCTGGTAACAAAATATTTGGACGGGGGTTTGATCGTTGTTCAGACACGTCCTGCCCCTTACTTGAAAATCAACGACAGAGTAGTACATTCCTCTTAAATAAGCTGTGTGCAAATGTAAAACGCAGTTTATTTTGTGGAACAGATGAGGGCGCCGTCACCCCTAAAAAAACAAAATGTGGAAACCTGTTTTTCTCCTCTGCTGCTATTCAAATTATTGATAGAAGGCCACGTACATATTAACCATTAATGTTTTAACACTATAAAAATGTTTTTGTGTAGTGAGATATTTAAATTCACTTGACTTAAAAGACTAATGTTGAAACATGAATATAAACGGGTGTCATCCAAGTTTATTCCTGTATTAAAGCAACTCAGGAGGAGCACAAAGGTGCACATGTAAGCAGAATAAAAAAAATATATATATTTTGAAGATGCATGCCTTTTAAAAAAATGTTTGATTTAGAGAGGAGTGATCTCTCTTCAGGAGACTGACCAACTGGGAGAGGATTTCTGCTCAAAGAGACGGAGAGAGGCCCCTGTTTTGGATGGTGGGGATGCAAAGGATGTTGTGAGCTGGCGACGGTGTGACTGTGTGTGGCTGTCTGCACACAGTCAGCGGGAGGACTCCTCCAGACCAAACCTGCTGGGATCGACGCGGGCTTTTGTATGGCAGTGAAGCATTTTGGAAGGGTGGACAACTTGGGACTCCAATCACGTTCTCAGAGGCACTACAGAGGTACCTGACTGGCTGCCAGCCCCACACACACGCGCACGCACACACACACACACACACCCACACACGGATGCGGATAGCTTAGTCCTGCCTTGTGTTGGCTGTTGGTTTTGGCGCGTGGAACCGACACACAAATCCAGAGCGGCAGATATGATGGCATGTGTGTAAATGGAGCCGCCAGACAGATAATGAACAGCATTAGTTAGAGAGGAATTAAGAGGCAGCGGCTGAAACACTGGGAACCATTACAGCAGACTCCCACAACAAGTCTTCCAAGACATTATACCCACTTCAGTGTTATTTCTCCATCAATCTGTTGTTGCTGTCTGAACCAGACTCTATAGGCTGCCTGGTTTATCATTTTTTCTATGTGTGTGTGTGTGTGTGTGTGTGTGCACGCAGGCTGATCTTGTAGTTTGTGGGCTATCCTAATTAAATAAATTGGGTATTTTCCTTCCATTTGCGTTAAAAAAAAAGCTGTGGTTGTTTTGCTGATCTTCTCGTCCTGGCGTCACTGACGCATACCAGTCGGTCTGAGACCGAATTAATATGCAGCCCATTCCTTGAGCCTCTGGATGAGCTGTCTTCTTGTTATGAATTAACTCATCCCCCAGAAGACAAAATGACATCATCTCCTGATATTAACAGCACAGCTGTGCAGCCAATGGACTGTGGAGTGTACAATCTGCTCCTGAATAAAGGGGAAATAATGATAAAAAGACATATTAAAATACAAACTACAAAGGCCGAAATGCAATTCATACACTTGATGTTGTGACGCATGTGTATGAAGAAGCAGAAGAACATTTGTTGCGTTCAGTATTCAATGCTACAGAAGCACATTGTTTGCTCAGTTAATTCGTCTTTTCGTACCAGCTTCCTTCCTCTGCTCGTATCCTTTTCATCCTCTCCCTTCACTTGGTGCCTGGTGTAATTACCTCCATCACTCGGTCACAATTGCGAGAACACAGCCCCGGAGACCAGCGCACATTTAACGCCGTTACTTCATCTTGGATTGGAACTTGGCCTGTTTTTCTCTCCCGATGACATGTTTTGATGAAAGCCGTTGTCACTAATGAACCAGTTTAGCCGACGGAAGTTCACCTCCTCTCTGTCTCCGCGGACTGAAAACAGCCCTTATGGGAAATTTATGAAATCACACACTGCAATTACCAGTAGATGAGGCGGGTCGAGGGAAAATGGGAACAGCACAATCTGTATTACAGCGTCTCATCATGATGGCCCACTGGTGATGGATGCTGTGTATTACATTGCTTAGGGGTTGACTTTTCCTTCAACGGTCGAGGTGTTGAAATATATTTTCTCGTTGATATTGCAAACTGGAGCCGGCGTTATTATGCTGTTTGACTTTAATAACTTCACATTCACCATGGTACCGTGGCATCCCTTTTTAACAAGGGAGGGTTGGTAGTATTATTGAGTGTGCTTGTGTTGTTCCAGATAATCATTTGCCTTTTTATCTTGCAGAATATCAGTATAGGGAATATCATTCTTTTGAAAGTACTTAAAAGCAATTTCAAATGAGTGGCGTGTTGGATGTTCGGTTTGGACTGCGGTGGCCATGGGGCTACATGGGTGTGAAATTCTTTTAATAAATTCTGTCAGACTTCCTTGAAATTGGTTAAAGAGGAGATTGTTGACCTTGAACAATTTTTATTAGCGGTCTCTGAATAAAGGCTTCAGATTGAGGGCTTGATCATTGTTAGCGCCGTTATAATTTACGCTTTGAATTGAATGAATTTCAGAGTGCATTGCCCTTCGACCTAGCTGCACTCACATTTGCAGTGCTGTCTGAAAGACACGCAACTGAAATATTAAAATAGCCTGCGGTGCTGTTTGAGAACATCTTGCTCTGGATATTTAGCATTCGATTAGAAACCAGAGTTTGCTATGTGGGAACTGCCACAAATCCCAGCTTCAAATGGAGACTAGTTAAAAAAGTAAAGATGCTTTAATGAGGTATTCAAAACCATTTTTTGGTCAAATTGTGACAGTGAGCTTTATCACACACTCCCTGACAGTCTTGTTTCCGGTTTGCTTTATGCATCCCAAAACAAGAATATTATCGCCACATTCGACAAGAATATTATTTTTCCCACTTGACTGTCGCGGAGAAAAAAAGCTAATTGTGTCACGGTTGCTTGTTCCACAGAAGGCACCTCAAACAAGAAAGTCTTATTCAATTAATCAAACTTATTATAGCAGGCACCCATATAAATCATTAGCACGCAGGCAAAGCTGACATCAATAAAAACTAACGGCCTTAATGAGTGAGGAGAGAAAACCGTGAGATATGAGCAGATGTTCAAAATAAAAAAACCTCATCAACAACGGTTATGTAAAAACGCACTTTTAGGGTACCGCCTCTTGGTGGCGCTGTTGAGCTGAAGAAGTGGTGGAGGAGGTGAGAGCGTGAGTTGTAGGAAGGTGCGAGATGGTGGAGGGAGGGCTGAGGGGGACACGGAGGCAAAGCGCCGTAGTTGCGGGGACACAGAGGGTGGAGGTGGAGAGAAGAGCAGGCCGGAAGAATCCTTCCTTAATTTGAGAGATTGGTGGTGAGAGAGGGATTAAACCTGGTAAAAGGTGGAGCGAGTTGGGGGTGGGTGTGCTATGAACATCGTATCAGTCCTCCCGCCGCGTTAATTACATCCATTATTACCCCTGCCAAGTTTCTGGGTCAGATGAGTTTTTATTCACAACAACACCCTTGGAGCAGACATTATAGAAAATTACAACAAATTCCGTAGACCTCACTGAGGAGGGCCGGGCCTTGTTGGTGGGTAATTGTGAAAAGCAATATACCGCTCTGCAGAAGGGAAAAAAAAAAAGCAACGTGTTTACTAGTTGAGCTCTCCCCAAGGGCCGCGCCGCGGAGTGAGACGCGCAGCCAACATTACATTTGTTTTGGTTTCCCAGCTCCACACCCTCTGACTGTTTATCTCCGTCTCCCCCGCCCTCTCTCTAATGCTGCAAACGGCGTCCTCAGAGGCAAATGAAATTGTACTCTGCGCATTATGACGGGGCCCATTTATTGCATTTAATTACACCAGAGGAATATGATATCATCACTTTCAAGCAGTTGGGTGCTAATCCCACGCCGGTGCGATTGCACATGCACTCCTGCGAGTCCCCCCCCTCCCTACCCACCCAGTTCCTGGGTGTGTGCGTGTGTGTCCGTGTGCGAATCCCACCGGTCGCGGCTGAGTCGATCTTTGTGCTCTGCCTTCCGATGAGCGGATACGTGAGCGCTAGCAGCCTGTTAGCTGCACGTACAGGTTCGCAGACGGAAAACAGGCCGCCGGGCGGTGTGTTCCGCTAGGTGACGACAATCTTTTGGGAGAGCGCCGCAACACAGGAAGGAGGAGGCGGTCAGACGGACGGGGAACCGTGCGAGCAGACGAGAGGCAACACGAGGTGACACTCCGACAGGCACGGACGCCGCCGGATGGGAGGCGCAGCGCAGATCAGTCCGGTGTCAAATTTGGCGGGACTTGAGTGGCTGCAACGCACTCACGAGCGTGAATGATTTATTTATGGCCAGTGTGGGCGAGATGAATAGTAAGGATGATTTGGGGAGATTAGTCAGTAACACTGCGCTACAAATGAAAACACAAAATCAAGGGTAACTGCGTATCTGCCGGCGGCACCTGACACCGCGCTGTTACTCTCCTCCGCGATACGCTCATCGTGTGAAGGCTCCTCAACTGGCTCCCTCTCAAGAATGTTAAAAATGCAGTTGGAAACTACAATGAAATGTGCAGGGTGAAAATAGCAGTTGCTAGAGACGGCCCTTTTTTTAAGTGGCGGAATGTGTAATCAAGGTGATATAGTCTGGCTTACACACTGACATGGTTAGGGTGACTCTCTGGGCCTTTCCTTTCCGTTATTGTGTATAATAATTCTGCTCGGGTCACTCCTGTCTGCCCTCATACGGACAAGTTCCCTCATCCACGTGGATCGGACTGCTCCGTTTGAGGCCCAACTCTTGTTTTTGGGTCGGCTGCTTCTGCGTGCGCGGCAATCTGCTTGTTCCATGGCGCGCTGTATAGTGCGTAGCCAGTAGCCTGGTGGGTTTAAGGACGACGCCACGCACACTTGTCATACATGCGCTGATGCATCCAGGCGGCTCGACGGGGCCACGGGGCATGATGGGGACTGAGCAGGCTGGATTAGCGTCGGCTGTACACAAAGTATTGCCCCAGCATTTCATTCCTGGGAGGAAAGGGGGTCCTTTGTGGCATTCAAATCCAGGATAATGAAATTGGTTTAAGAGGGCTCGTACCTCACTTATTAAATGGTTTCCGGGGAAAGTAAACTTTATTTGAAAGTTGACAGAAATCTAATTTAAGCAATTAAATGAACAAAAAAAAAAAGTGTGCAATGGAAATAACAACAACATAATTCTTAACTAGTAACTGGTTAAAGCAACATTTCCTCTTCAAAAATTATGTTGAATAATTTGTTCAACAAACTAATACATTTTATTATATGTAAATGATGCACCATAATAAGGAAATGTTTACTTTAAGCATATTTGTAATGTTCAATGATATCCCATTAATAATGTTTGGGTCCTTAGCTATTTATATTATAACAATTCTTAGTTGAACATTCTTTGTGTAACTTCACTTGTCTACGTTTTAGACCAAACCTGTAAAAATCTCCAGATCAATTGAAAAACAACTGGAGCCAAAGAGGTCAACTTCTATCCAACATTTAACAGCAGGACACCCAACAGGCTTCAATCGCCAATTTTGGAGATGAAGCCGACATGGCAGCTGCAGTGGAATATAGACACACACACTCACAGAACCATTTAGCTCTTTCCGCTGACCTTCCAATCAGACGCTCCATGGCTGAAAGCATATTCCATTAAGATCTGTGGACTAGCACTTAATTGCTGTTGAAGCTGCATGAAGGCACAAGGAAACAATTTTACTGTGCATTTGCAGAGTAGAACTTGGCAACGTTTAGTTTTTTTT